GTATGGGTTGATTTTGGGTGAGAAATCGTTGTGTCGGAGGTCCCGAGAACAGAGCCCAGAGGCCTGGGGGTGTCGGGGCCAGGTGGGGGCGAGATGGCGGCCAGGCGGGGGGGCATGGGTCGATTTTGGAAGAGAAATCGCGGGGTCGGGGGTCCCAAGAATAGAGCCCAGAGGCTTGGGGGTGCCGGGGCCAGGTGGGGGCGAGGTAGCGGCCAGGGGGGGGGCATGGGTTGATTTTTGGCGAGAAATCGCGGTGTCGGGGGCCCCAAGAACACAGCGCAGAGGCCTGGGGGCGTCGGTGCCAGGTGGGGACGAGGTGGCGGCCAGGTGGGGGGTATGGGTCGATTTTGGGCGAGAAATCGCGGGGTCGGGGGTCCCAAGAACAGAGCCCAGAGGCCTGGGGGTAGCGTGGCCAGTGGGGGCGAGGTGGCAGCCATGTGGGTGGGGGGGGGAGGGGGGGGGGGGGGGAGGTATGGTTCGATTTTGGGCGAGAAAATCGTGGGGGTCGCGGGTCTCATGAACAAGCCCAGAGGCCTGGGGTGTCGGGGCCGGTGGGGGCGAGGTGGGCGGCCAGGTGGGGGTATTGGGTCGATTTTGGGTGAGAAATCGCGGGGTCGGGGGACCCAAGAACAGAGCCGAGAGGCGTGGGGGTGTCGGGGCCAGGTGGGGGCGAGGTAGCGGCCAGGTGGGAGGTATGGGTCGATTTTGGGCGAGAGATCGTGGGGTCGGGGGTCCCGAGAACAGAGCCCAGAGGCCCGGGGGTGTCGGGGCCAGGTGGGTGCGAGGTGGCGGCCAGGTGGGGGGGGGTATGGGTCGATTTCGGGCGAGAAATCTTGGGGTCGGGGGTCCCAGGAACAGAGGCCGGGGGGCGTCGGGGCCAGGTGAGGGCGAGGTAGCGGCCAGGCGGGGGGTATGAGTCGTTTTTCGGGCGAGAAATCGCGGGGTCGGGTGTCCCAAGAGCAGAGCCCAGAGGCCTGGGGGTGTCGGGGCCAGGTGGGGGCGAGGTGGCGGCCAGGTGGGGGGTAGGGGTTGATTTGGGGCGGGAAATCGCGGGGTCGGGGGTCCCAAGAACCGAGCCCAGAGGCCTGGTGGTGTCGGGGCCAGGTGGGGGCGAGGTGGCGGCCAGGTGGAGAGGTATGGGTTGATTTTAGGCGAGAAATCGCGGTGTCGGGGGTCCCAAGAACAGGACTCAGAAGCCTGGAGGTGTCGGGGCCAGGAGAGGGTTATGGTGGGGGGCGTCGGTCGTTTTTGGGCGAGAAATCGTGGGGTCGGGGGTCCCAAGAACAGAGCCCGGAAGCCTGGGGGTGTCGGGGCCAGGAGGGGGTCATGGTGGGGGCGTCGGTCGTTGTTGGTGGAGAAATCGTGGAGTCGGGGATCCCAAGAACAGAGCCCAGAAGCCGGGTGGTGTCGGGGCCAGGAGGGGGTCATGGTGGAGGGCTTCGGTCATTTTTGGGCGAGAAATCGTGGGGTCGGGGGTCCAAGAACAGAGCCAGAGGCCTGGGGTGTCGGGGCCAGGTGGGGGTCATGGTGGGGGACGTCGGGTCGTTTTGGGCGAGAATTCGTTGGTCGGGGGTCCCAAGAACAGAAGCCCAGAAGTTTGGGGGTGTCGACGCCAGGAGGGGGTCATGGTGGGGGGCGTCGGTCGTTATTGGGCGGGAAATCGTGGAGTCGGGGGCCCCAAGAACAGAGCCCAGAAGCCTGGGGGTGTCGGTGCCAGGAGAGGGTCATTGTGGGGAGCGTCGGTTGTTTTTGGGCGAGAAATCGTGGTGTCGGGGGTCCCGAGAACAGATCCCAGAAGCCTGGGGGTGTCGGGGCCAGGAGAGGGACATGGTGGGGGGCGTCGGTCGTTTTTGTGTGAGAAATCGTGGGGTCGGGGGCCCCAAAAACAGAGCCCAGAAGCTTGGGGGTGTCGGGGCCAGGAGGGGGTCATGGTTGGGGCGTCGGTCGTTTTTGGGCGAGAAATCGTGAGGTCGGGGGTCCCAAGAACGGAACCCAGAAGCTTTGAGGGTGTCGGGGCCACGAGGGGGTCATTGTGGAAGGCGTCGGTCGTTTTTGGACGAGAAATCGTGGGGTCGGGGGTCCCAAGAACAGAGCCCAGAAGCCTGGGGGTGAGGATGCCGGGGCGTGGTGGGAGCGTGGCAGGAGCGTGGTGGGGAGCGTGGTTGGGGGCATCGGTCGGTTTTGGGCGAGAAGTGGTGGGGTGGGGGAAAGGGGGGCCCAAGAACAGAGGTTCCAAGGGAGGGGGCCAGGAGGAGGGTATCGGTCGGTGGCTGCTTGAAAGGAGAAGCTCACGATGAGTGGCTCTAGCGCGCACTCTCCCTCACACGCCTCTGGGGTCGGCGGATTTGTGTGTCCTGGGGCCCCTTCACCTACGCCCAGAAGGTTGGCGGGATTTTTCGGAGTTCCGCGCGGGTTCGTTTGGATCGGCGCAATGCCTCCCTGGCGCGCTCCGTTCACCAGGGAGGGAGGCCCGGTGCCGATCCAAGAAATCAGAGCGGGCCTCTGAGAAATTGGAGGTGGGGGAGGAGGAGGAGGAGGAGCAGGAGCAGGAGGAGGAGAAGAGGAGGAGGACGAGGATGAGGAGGAGGAGGAGAGAAGGGGAGGAGGAGGAGGAGGAGGAGGAGAGGAGGAGGAGGAGGAGGAGGAGGAGGAGGAGGGAGGAGGAGGAGGAGGAGGAGGAGGAGGGAGGAGGAGGAGGAGGAGGAGGAGGAGGAGGGGGAGAGGAGAAAGTGGTGGTGGTGGAGGAGGAGGAGGAGGAGGAGGAGGAGGAGGAGGAGGGAGGGTAGTTGGAGGAGACGTGCCTCCGGGATGTTACAAAAATGCCGTTTGCTATTCCCCTAGAGGTGGCAGGCGCGGCGGCGGAAGGTCTTCAGAGTAGTCTGTGCCCAGGCTCGTGGGCGGAAGCGGTGCCGCTACCATCCTTAAGTCGGGCATGTCCTTCTACAGGAGGAATAGTCAAGAATAGTGGAAACATAGTTTGGGGATTATTCTTAGTGTTTTTGTTTAGGGTCCATGTTTCCAAAACCCGCCTGTGGGAGGACGTGCCCAACCTAACGCTGCCTGTACCCTGGCCTCGTTCTCGCCTTGCTGGGCCTCCTGAGAAGCCCTCGTCGCTTCGGCTGGGTTCGCCTCGAAATTCTGGTCAGGACGCACCCCGGGAGAGTTCTGGGGACATCAAGTACATGTTGGTTTCTAGTCCTCCTAGATGGGGTCGGAGTAGATGGGGACAGACGATTTCTCCGCATCGCCGATGCTGCTCGATGTGCAGCCCGATGTGCTTCACGTCGACGTCGCCGATGCATCGCCGACGTCGACGATGCATCGCCGGTGCATCGCCGATGCATCGCCGATGCATCGCCGATGCATCGGCGATGTATCGGCGATGCGGCGCGATCCTCCGACCCCATCTACTCCGACTGCATCTAGGACGTCACTATCGGTACATGTTGGTTTCCCCACAGGCGATCGTCGACCCAGAGGGTCTGGCCCGGGTCGCCCAGGAGGCCTCTGCGGAGGACCGCGCCTGCGCGCTGCTGCGCGCGGCGGAGCACCGAGAGGGCGCGCTGCCCTGAGGCGCTGCCAGGCCCGCGCGGGCGCGCCGTTGGCGGGGCAGGCGAGCGGACGCGGGGTGAGGAGCGCAGCCGCGCGTGCAGTGCTTCCCAAGCTGCGGGGGCGGTGCCCTTCAGTCGGCGACGGGACGGGGAGGGGGAAGCGTGAGGCCTGCAGGCGGGGGTGGAGGCTTGCACACAAACACCGACTCGAGGAGACGAGGGTTCTGCTCGTCGGCCAATACCAGAAGGCGACGGCCCAAACGACTTGGGCTGCCACCAGCCGGCTGTGACTGGGTCACGCTGGTGATCCAGAGGTGTCCTTTCTTTCTACCGGGCCAGCGTTGCATCTTCCATCTTCCAGAAGCTTGGCCATTCCTGCACCCGAGGAGTTTGCAGCTGTATGGCTGCCGCACGTTTTATTCCAGATGTCTAGCAGTTGGTCCAGGTTTCTTTGGCCAGTCCTGTGGCATCGCATCGTCCTGGCTGCTGTAATTTAAGTTTGGCGGCCAGCGCAATACAACAAGAAGCTGGGCAGCCGTGCGTGGCGAATGTCGCCGTCAACGGCTCGGATTTCCATTATAATTTGGTCGAAATCAGTGGGGGGGTAGCAAGGTGTCGCTCGACGATCTCGCATCCTTCGTGAGGCACCCTTGCATTCTCGTGAGGTGCTCTGAAAGATGAGGCTCCCTCCAACCTCCAATCTAGATCCTCCCAGTCAATTATTGAGTATAGTTCAGGAGTCCGCACCTTCACAATATTTCATAGGTCTGCCTCCAGAGAGCGCCTCATGGCTAGTGATTTCCCTGTCTCCTCTATTGGGTCCCCTTCCCCCTTTCCCGTCCTTGCCCCTCCCGCCCCTCCCCATCTACAGCCGAATGAACTGAGTAGTAGACAACACTCAAAGCAGGTGATTGTTGACAGGATTGCGACCTCTTGACCTGCAATTCTAGCTCCCAGGGGATATGATGCCGCTGGAGGTCCACGGAGGGGCCCTGTTCCCCCACCGGTGGTCCTTCTTTAGGCCAGTGGAGCCCCCCCGCAGAATAACTGATAGGCGCGAACCCAATGCTTTCACAGGGCCTATTTCCAAATGTATTTCATGTCCATATTCAGTTGCTGCTCAAGGCAGCCCTGTCAGCCAGACATCGAACAATTGACTCGTAAGTGTGCTCGTCTTTTCTTGCCCTCCTACCTCTGCAGTTGAGTACGTCGCAAGGCCATTTCAAGTAAGGGATGGGGACACGTTGGCCTCTATGCGTTTCTGTGTCGTCGTGCGGGGTGCCCGTGTAAGGGTCCAGCATCCTTATGATCGCCCTCATTATCAGATCCGTTTGTACCGAGCTATGTGCATACACTGATTGTGACCTGCAGGGTAGTGGTTCGCCGCTTTGCTTGGCATGGCGGCTGCGAGCCGATCGCGATGCACGAACTGATTTCGGTCCACAGGATTGCCGTTTGGGCACAGTTTGGTGCAACGACCGACAGTCTCGAAGACGCCTAGGGCGAACCACCGCCGCCTGTTCCCTTTCGGAAACGCCCATGCGTTCCCAAGTCTGGCCAAGCTATTGGACTGCGTGTTTCCCAAGCCGTTGTGGAACCCCTTGGGCACACACACTTGGGAGAGGAAGAGAAATGAGGAGGAGGAGGAGAAGTAGGAGAAGATGGACGAGGAGGAGGAGGAGGAGGAGGAGGAGAACGACGACGACGAGAATAAAGAGCAGGCCTCTTGAGGCCCCCTGGGGCCCCCTGGGGGCTTCTGGGAGCTTTGTGGAGACCTCTGAGGGGCCTCCTGGGGCGTATTGGTAGCCTCTCGTTGGAATCCTCTAAGGGGCCTCTAAGAGGCCTTGGGAGACCGGCTTGGGGGCCTCTCTGGGCAGTCATGGGTCCCTCTTTGGGCGCTTCAGGGCCGTCTTGGAGGTCGGGGGGGCTGCCTGGGGCCGTCTTGAAGGCTTCTTGGAGCGTCGTGAGCCCTCTTGGGCCGTTTTGCAAGCCTCCTGTGGGCCCCCCTGGGCCGTCTTGGGGCGATCTGTGGGGGCTTATGGGGCCGTCGTGCAGTGCCAGAAAATGCGAGAACGGTAAGATCATGGGACAAGCATATGGAATCAATGATGTTGGCCATCTGGAGGGCCTATTGGAGCTCTCTTGGGGCGTCTTAGGGGCCTCTTGGGTCGTCTGGATGGTATCCTTTGCCGTCTTGCAATCATCTCGGGCCGACTTGGAGGCCTCGTGAACCCTCTTGGATTGTCCTTGAGGCCGTAGTGGACGACCTTGGGTCGATCTGACGGGCAAATTCTGGCCATCCTGGAGGCCATCTTCAGGCCATGATGAGCCAGGATGCGGTTGGAAAACGTCTCGCCCGTGTCTTTCCTGGTGGCCGGCGGGATGGGCCGAGGGCCATTGGGAGTTTCTATAAAGAATTGCTCCAAACAGCAAAACAATCAGGTACCCCTGGTGACAAGCACAAGGGTCAGCGGATCAAAGACGCCTACGGCGAATCACCGCCGCCCCTTTGCCCCTTAGGAAGCGCCTCTGTGGCCGACAACTGGGCCAGAGCTTGGCCAGGCTATCGGACCAGTTGTTCCCCGAGCCGGTTTGGAAAGACTTCGGGGAACACTTGGGGGAGCAAGAACAGGAGGAGCTTTTCGATGATTTTTGGGGGCCTTTGGGGGCTTCTCGCGGGCATCTTTGGCAGTCTTCGGGCGTTCCTGGCTTGTCTGACGCCGTCGGAAGCCGTCTTGGTGGCCTGTCTGGGTCGTCTTAGGGCCCTCTTGGGGCACATCAGGGGTTCTTAGAAGCCATCTTGGGCGTCTTGGAGGCCTCTTGGGCCATTTTAGGGCCCTCTTGGGGCCGTCTTGGGGGCCTTTGGGGCCGTCATGGGGCCATCTTGGAGGCCTCTTGGGCGATCTTGAGGGCCTCTTGCGCCGTCTTGAGCCGTCGGAATGCCGAGAAGAAGCAAACGCCATAGGAGTGCTTGCACGTGATTGTCTGTGTCCCTCCGTCTCCGCTCAAGTGCATGAGCGTGGGCCGGGCCATGGCCCCTGGCGCCTCCACGAGCCTGGCGGTGGGCGCCGCGGTCGGCCCTCCGGCGGCGTGAGCGGGGCTGCGCCTGTTGGGAGCTTGGCTGGGGGCGCTGATCGTGGCCTCGACCACGTGCTCGGCCTGCGTCTGCCAGGCGCCCGCGGCACCGCCGCCGCCGCCGCCGCCGCCGCCCGTGGCGGCAGGCATCGCGGCCGCGGTGGTGGAGGAGTTTGGGCCCTGGCTCGCGAACGCCTCGCCCGCTCCGGCGACTTGCCCGAGCGCGGAGGCGGTGGCGGCGGCGCTGCTGGAGCGCCTGCCGCCGTCGCCTGGGCCCGCGGGGCCCCCGCTGGCGGCTCCGCCGCCTGAGGCTGGCCCGGCCCTGGAGGAGCAGCCGAGCGTCGTGACGCTGGTGGCTGTGGGCTGCGCTGTGGGAGAGCTGGTGCTGCTCGTCGTGTGCTGCCTGACGGCTCGTGCGCGGAGGAATGCTGGGGTTCCGGCGTCGTCGCGGCGTCCGTACCCTGTGGCCGAGCGGAGCCAGCGCCGAGGTGGCGGAGGGGTGCGCTGAGCTGCGCCCATGGCCCCGCGTGGGGCTCTGGTACCGCCGGGACACGGTGTGGCACGAGCGCTTGCTGCTGCACCCGGCAGGCGGCGCCTACTGGTGGGTGCTGACGCCAGACGACTACGTCTACGTCGAGGACGTCGCGGGGGTGACTGGCGACGGATGCTTGCGGGCCTTCGCGTGCACGCCAGACGGGACGCCGCCTGCTGTGGCCCATGGGAAGGATGGCGCTCGCACGGTTTTCTCAGGGTTGCGCCGCCGCCTCCCGCTGCGCAGCGCTGCTGGGGAGCCCGACGGGACCGCGACCCCGCCGCTGGCGCCCGACGGCGAGGCGGCCCCCTTGGCCGACGCCTCGGCGGAGCGCCCGCCAGAGACAGCCGCCGACTACGATGCCCCGGAGGGCCGCGTCTGGATGGTGGCCTCCTTGGGGCCGAAGCCGATCGGTCTGGAGATCGAGCTGGCGGCGGGCGACGCGCGGCTGGACCGCGGCCACGCGATGATGCAGTTGGCCAGCGGCTGGCAGCTCCTGGGGGCGGTCAGGTTTGCCAGCCGTGACGACTTCCGCCCCCGCAAGGCTAAGGGGTGACCGAGCAGATGGAGGCAGACCTCGGGCTACCCGGGCCCCCAGCGCCTGGAGGCGCCCTGGCAGCGGCTGCAGAGGCCCCAGAGGCTGACGAGGAGCGCGACCTGCGCGACCGCCTGGGCGCGCCGCCCGCAGTCGAGAGCGGGCCGCCCGCCGAGGCGGAGGACATGGGGACTCTGTGGGCACAGCGCGATGACCACGGAGAGCGGCACAAGCCATGGCGTGAGGTCGTCCGAGGGGCGAACCGATACACGTTCAAGGACTGGCCGCTGGACGACGGGCTCTCCACGGTCGAGCACATGATCAAGACGTGGGATAAGAGCGACGGCAACCCGCTGCTGTGGTTCGAGGTGTGGGCGCGGGACAGGCTGCTCTCACACTCGGACAGGAGCTACGTAGAGATGAAGTGCCTGCTGACTGCCATCTACTACGCGGGCACCTACGACCAGGTGAATTTGGCCAACATGGCGAGCATTGAGGTGCTGCGCCGCCGCGTGTCCACGATAGTAGAGGCCTACTCGGGCGACCCGAGCAAGGGTCCGAAGTGGGCTGGCCTCAAGCACTTCATGGGCGCCACCAGCCCCATGGACATCGTCGACCCGACACTGCGCACCGCGGTCTTCCGCAAGAACAAGGAGGAGATGGAGCTGGACAGTTGGGAGAGCCGGGCCGCTGGCATGCCGCTGCCCAGTCTGCTGGCGGCCGCGGCGGGGGAGGGGCTCCCCGACGGCGGCGGCGGCGGCGCGGGCCGCGGCGCCGAGGGCGGCGGCGGCGGGCGCGGCGGCGGCCGGGGCCGCAAGGGCGACAAGGGAGCAGGACGTGACGGTGCGCGCGGCGGCCAGCTGACCGCGCCCGCCGGGGGATGAGCCTGCCTGCTGGCGGAGGTGGGCGACCCGCTGGCGATGATCAGCCCAGTCGCGAAGTCGGGGTGAACCTGCTCAAGCTGCTCCCCCTGCCGAGCCCCCCCGCCATCAGGAGTTGCGATGGCCGCCCTCAGAACCGCGAGGGAGGCAGGCTTGCCAGGCGAGCCCGCTGCGACTTCAACGACGCGGTGGACGCCTTGAATTGGTTCGCGAACCGAGAGCACACAGGCGCCAAGTCGCATTTTGACCAGCAGAGATCGCACGAACGGATCCTCGACCTCGTGGCGGACAGCATGCCGCCACTGGAGGCCGCGATCCCCTCGCCGCGGGCGGCCTTCAACGAGCTGCTGCACGGCCGGAGCGTCCACGACGAGTCGGCCGGACGGAACATCGGGCGTCTTCGCAATGTGGGGCATATATTTTTGCCTAAGACCGTGGTGGAGGGACCACGGCTGTTGGAGATCGCACCTGCCCATGCACGCCAGTACCTCGAGGGCGGTTATTCTCGGATGCTCGTACCAAGCGACAAATTAGATCATCGACTCGATAGTTGCGATGTGATCCCGCACTGGGATCCCTCTCTTGTGCGCAACATGAGGCTGCACATACGTTTCATCAGGCCGTTCAGAACGAAGGGGGTGATTG